CCTAGAAAGAGTTTACCAAACCCCAGAATAGACAGAGCTAAATGGTGGGACCGTGAAAAGGCCGGACCGTTTCAACAGTGCGTTCATCCTTGTCCCCCTGTGAGTGCGCGCTGTGTGATCAGACGACGCGACTTTGACACTGAACTGACTGCAATTTGGACAAAGCGAAAACTGGCTCAGAATCGCATCAACCTATTGTTTCGAAATGTGCTACGTCGAAAGATGACTATCCCTATCCCAGGTGTTTATCACTGTTTTTGTGTGAGCAGCGCCGTGTATAGTATTGAAAAGGTACTGCGTCGTCTATTCGTAAACCAGACGGAATTTGGCGGTGTTCAATTCGTTTTAAAGTTTATATTTGTATTAACTTTGAGTGTATTTTATGTTAATTAGGAGTATATGAGACATTTGGTCAACACATTTTGATATATTTTATGCAATGCACATGTTTAGGCTACAACATGAAATATTACTTCCCTTCTCTGGTTACGTGTCGCATCTTGAGTTTAAAATTCCGAACTTTATATGTAATTGTCATATTTTCTTATGTCAAACAGATATGCAGTGCATATACATATGTGCGATTTAGTATCTGACGCTTAGGAAGTACGGTCTATTTTGTGCACATACGGGCTCTTTCGTAAAATAACGAGCATTTCGTGGCGTGTAAGGACGAGCATTTCGTGGCGTGTAAGTCTTAAAATGCGTTAGTCATGTGTTTAGGTTTCATTTCTATTTGCAGTGATTCATGCCAGGTTACTTAGACGTTTCCCTATGACTTAAGTTTGTCCGTGAGTTTAGATGTTACGTACTTCTCCGTCAATACATAAGGCGAAGCTCACACACCTTTCAAATCACCCCAGTGCCAAGTAAATAAATGTTGTAAGGATAAATATTGTTACTTCACTTGCTTTTACGCTCAGATATTGTGGTAAGTACTAACATTAAATAGAAAAACTTTACATTGGCCAAAATTCTGCTCAGCAAAGCGCCTGTGCGAAGTCCCGTTCAAAACGCTCATAGCACGAGATTCGAGTCTTAATAGCGGCCATACAAACAATATATTACAATTTCTGTTGGTAGTTCCTGATAGACTACTATATTAACTAACTGTGAATAAAAAATGAAAAAAATAAAAAGTGGGTTTTTTTAGAAAATCGACTCCAAACTTGCTAGTTTTTCGAAATATTCGTTTTTCAGGCACATGTAGCGCAATATATACTTGTGGCAAAATAGTGAAATTATACTCAAAAGAAAGAGTATAATTGGCGCTTCACGGTGATATAAAGATCATAAAAATAAATTGATTAGGTCACACAGCACAGCTTGCTGAACTTCGTCAAATATCGTCACAGAGAGGCGGTTTGACAAATAAAAAAAAAATCATTAAGAATGTTATGACCTGGACGCTTAATTAGCATGAAAAAGCCTATGTCTAGAGTGTTCCCAAAAAGTTATATTGATGTAGCGTAAAAAGTAGGGAAAAGGGATGGAGTGAAATATGGCACCTCCGATAGGCTGGAAAAACATCAATTTCCACCTTGACCGCTTCAACGGTCCATAACTTGAGAACAAAAAATCCGACGAAATAACCGTTTGCGTCTTCTTTTATTATAGGAATTGCCCCAAAACATATATTTTTTTCGTCAAAATTAAAAATTCGACCCTAAATCCGTGCCTGAGTTGAGATGAAATCACCCATATATATATATATATATATATATATATATATATATATATATATATAGAAACGAAAACAAACGTATTAGCAATGAAGGGCATGAATGCTGCGAACTTTTTCAAACCGAAGTTTCGATGATCTAATCAAGCGGTTCGAAAGATTTGACAGATTTTGAATTTTCGAACATTTTTATCGTAAAATTCGACCAAAGTCGAATTTTTGACCATGTTAAACCAAGAAGTTCGATGCTTTTCGAACCGTCGAACTTATTACGCTAAAAAAATTCTATCCTTTTCGAACTTTCTAACTTATCACGCTGCAAAATTCGATGCTTGTCAAACTTTCGAATTTGATAGACCAAAAAATTCGACAATTGAAGTTCTTGCGCTAAAAGGTTCAAAGCTTTTCGAAATTTCGAACTTCCTACGCTAAGGAATGAGATAATTTTCGAGCTTTCGAACTTATTTATGTAGAGAATTCGAAAAGTTTCGAACTTTCGAATCCTGAAAAGTCAAAAGTTGACGAACTTTGAACTTTTAGAGTAAAAGTTCGACGTTCGTCGAACTTCGAAAGACCGGTGGGCGGTTTCATTTGAATTCATTAGCGGGGTACATTCGTACTTTTTTTTCTCGAATTTTTACATGCGGTTCTACGTTCCTCACGAAAGACAATGCCGTTTATTTCAATGTTCTGGCGCGCTTAGTTTTAAAGAAATAAATTCTCGATGGGGCGAGGATGGGCGATGGCTTTTTGACGATTGTCGTTTGTGCCATATTTGAAGCGCGCTATAGCCGAAGCTATTTATGGTAAAGATGTTAAAGTTTTTAGGAATGATCTATGTATAGCTTAAGTCAGTGTCGTCTTAAGATGTGATTATTCTTATTCAAGGTGCGTTTCGAAGAACTGTCCAAACATGTATCTTCGGGCAATTATGCCCTAAACTAGGTATTTATTTTCGTTTAAGTTGTTTGAGGTATCGCATTTAAATTAACACCACAGACAGTATATATCATTTCCATCTGCAGAATACAAAATAATGTATATACTTTTTTTTTCACGTTAGGGATTAAATTACCTCATGGGAGAAGATTTCTAATATTGTTCAAGTTCAACACGTCATTAAAAGAAGACTTCTTTTTGTTTCACGTTTTTTGGGACGTCTTTCTTTTAGCCTATACACATATACACATTTTGGTGGGAGAAACTTGTTTCGAAGTTCTGAGCCTCTGCTTATGCAAGAATACAACACTTCCGGCGAATTCTTGATAGTTTTTTTTTTCTTCATCTTTTTATTTCCGCAGTTACTGTTAAGCCAACTTTTTTGTTTATTAATGCACAGTTATTGAGGTCGAAAAGACATTGCATTGAACTTCCGATCCATTAAGCATGTGAGAAGTAGTGCCTTCTCACAAGGAGTTTCCGACAATGACCATCTGCGCGATCTTTTATGCAGTGAACAGCGACAGTAGCTCTACATATGCATGATTAATTACAGATTACAATAAGTTCCATCACGCCCTCTTTCCCCGTATCGTTTTCTTTAACGGCCCAAAATATCTGGAAGGGGGGAAGGCTGGCTAAAGCCCCCCCCCCCCCCCCCTTTCCCCTCCGTTTTTCCTCTTCCGACGCATCTTGAATGGTAGAACGCTCCTCGACCTCGAGTTCTTCCGGCTTCTGTGCTTTTAGCGAAGCCCTCCCTCCGTCCCGGAAAATAAACCTCCAGGACAATTACAAACTTAACTTACTATATGCCAGCGTCACTTGGGCTGCGTTCTATCGGATTTCTACCAGCGTGCAAGGGGTGGGGAAGTAGTTTGCCAGATCGCTTCAAGTTTATTCGGAGCCTCAACCACCTGCCAGCCCCTGGCTGTTTCGAACTGGATGAGTATCGTAAAACAGTGCGTTTGTGTGATCGCTATTGCGTGATGCACGTTAAAGGCACCCCCGGGCTGGCGGTCACAATTACTGATCTTAGGTTACTCGTCACTCTACACTGGCAATAATTCCAGTACATCCAAGACACTCGTCGTCTCATTTAATTGCCTGACCAACTTTGCGGAGTCTAAATATCACACCCTAACTTTCCTAAACCTAACTTCTCCGAAATGAAAATCAATGAGTCGTGAAAACGTTATTTAAAACTGAAACTGTGGAAGAACATGAAAACCGGACGTCGAACTTTGAAAACTTGGACTTGAAAGAAAATCAAAATCTTCGAAGGTTTTTTTTTTGGTTTTTTTCGAATTTAACGTTAAAAGAAAATGGAACCCTTGAACTTTTCGAACTTTACGTAAAAATAAATTTGAAATCTTCGAATTGTTCGAACTTCATGTTTCTAAATATTACAAGCGTTCGAATTTTATATCCTTTTCGAATATCTCAAATTTCAAGTTAGGAAAGTTCGAAATCTTCAAATTTCTCGAACCTCAAATAAAAACATATTCAAAATATTCGAACCCGAAATTTTAGAAGCCGTGAAAGCTTCGAACTTTTTTCAATTCGAAACTTTAATGTGATGGAAGGTTGCGAATTTTCGAATTCGAACCTCGCTCGGTACGAAAAAATCTATTCTTTTTTTTTTAATCCGAACCTCAGTTCGCTTTGAAAATATCGAAACCTTTAGATATGGAACCTAGGGTTGTTCGCGACATCCCTAATAAAAAGATACTGTTTTTATTATTAGAGCTCTGTTTCACTGCAGTGAATGCCACATGTGCCCACAATCTCATTTCTTGTTTTTACCAACTTAGGCTTACGTAGATTTCGGCTCACAGAGCAGTTTCGTCTTTCTTTTTTATTCACATAAAATTATGTTTTGAAAATTTGGCATTCCACCCCCACCTGCGTCTCATTCCGACGGATTTTTCTGTTTTGTGAAATGCGCAGTTTCTTCGTGCGGCTCGAAAAAACTGGCTTCATCGATCCTACCCTTCATGTAAACAAGCACCTGCCGCGCATCCCCTGCGAATGCTTTGTCATTGCCAGGATAGCGGCAGCCAAATAGAAATTTGGGCTAGTTGGTTCATGATCAGTATATACAGCGCCAAAAAACGGCAGGACAAAGACGAGAGTAAACAGGACGAGGCGCACTCGCAACTGAAGTTTATTTAGGAAAAAACACATAATAGCGGCAGCCAACAGCGCGACACGTGTGCGACGTCATCAGGCGAAAATCGAGGGTTCCCAAACGAGGACGCGGTAAAAAGGACCAGTCAGAGGCAAGATCGAGGCACTCACTGAATAAATTCGCGCATTTCATTCTCGGACCTCCCCCCCCCCCCCCCCCCCCCCCCCCATCTGATGTATGCTTCTTACTCACCGAGGCATCCCATTTTCGAGCGTAGATAATCGGAGCAATGGCATCTTGAAGCTTCCGTACCCCGGGCTTCTGGACGCTCTCAATCACCCTCAGCACGAGTTGGATGATGAGAGTAAATTCTGGGAAACAATCTGGGTGAAAAATAAAAAAAAAAAAAAAAAAAATGACAAAGGGTTTCTAATAACGAAAAGGGTTAGGGTGGAAGCTCCCTTGCACCTCTTTACACTTTACCATAGCGAACTCGGTAGAGGAGGCTGCCTCCTTTCGAGCCTTGGCTCTGCTAAAGGGGAAAGGGGTGGGAGGAGTATCCCCGGAACTCTTGGCTCTTGTGATATCTTACGACGAGAGTACAGAGTGGCGTGCACGCTAGCGCCATCTATGAGGTGACCCTCGCAATGAAATCTTGCTGGAGCTAAGGCCTGTTCTGCGGTATTTGCGAGATCAAAATTAATACTATCAACAAAATATAGTCGTTTATAACGATGTAAAAAAATTTCAAGCCAAAAAAAAAAGATGCGTGATAGAAAGAGGAAGAAAATGGCAGAAATTTAAAGTGTTAAGTGCTTCCCAATAGATGGCACAAGTGTGTTTGTTCGTCGTAAGATATTTTAAGAGGTTTTAAGGCACACGTTCGTAAGGTCGTAGTGTGAACCAGCCTTTACGCCAACAGCGGTCATAAAATGCTACAAGGCGGACATTTCTGCGTCTGCTGCCTCGTCTAGTCTGCGTCTGCAAACGCAGACGCAACGCAAGCTTGGTAATCTGATCACTTTTGGAAGTACTCATATCGCTCATAACAGTTACAATCTTTCCTTGCCCTTCCTAACGGCGCCCTTTTGTTTGAACGAGTTTCCTGCCAAGGAAACCTCGAACAATGTCTTAGACAGGCGAATATGGTTTACCGAAATTGGTGGATTAAGATGACGGGTGGTTGTTAATTCGGGCATTCGAATTCAACAATGAACAGTACGAAATATGTTTCTTTAAAGGGGCAGACCAATATTATCTTAAAAATCTGAAGTAAAAAAAAAAGAAAACTACCGCTTACATTTTTAACTAACGGTCAATTCTTCTCAAGTAAAGAGGTAACCAAAATGTATACTTTTTAACTAATGGTAATAGAAATTATTACTTTTTCGAGTGTACAAGAATGTTTACAACTTAAGAAAGCCAGGCCTATTCAGATTAGGCTTCTCTATTCTCGCTTCGGGGTCTTCATTAACTGATGCCGCAACCGCGGCTAGCGATAAGATGATGATCCTGTGCTCGGCACGTCTCGCGCTTCTTAAAAGGGAACTCCTGGCGCACAGAAATGCCGTTCATGGCCACAACTGGGAAATTAGAGTCGTATATAGACATATTACAATATATGACCCCATATATGGCCTTATTTTCCCAGTTCTTGATAGGCCGGCAATTTTGTACGGGTCCAGCGATTTTTTTTTTCTTCATACTCTTCAATTTTGCTGGAATTAGAAAGACCAAATAGCCCTTTCACACTTGATAGCTAAAATGCCCCCCGCCCAACACGCACACACATTTACACACATACACACGCACGCACGCGCGCGCACGCACACACACACGCACGCGCGCCCGCACACGGACACACACACAGGGGTGGATTGAGAGGGGGGGTCCGGATGTCCTGATCCCGCTCTTCGATTCGGCATGGGTAAAAATTTAAGGCGTAGAAACGGGAAAGGGGGGGGGGGGGGGTCTTAAACATATGATACGCTGACCAACACATGACTCCCCCCCCCCCCCCCCCTCAAGAAATACCTGCGTCCGCCCGTGCAAACACACACACACACACACACACATATATATATATATATATATATATATATATATATATATACAGGGTATTTCACGCAACTTGAGCCACAGTTTATAAATATTATGGTCCACTTTCGAAAGACGAATCTAAAGAAATAAAATGATCATTGTTGAGCAAGTCAGGCCATTTTTTTGTACTTTGCCCTATTAACTAATTAGTTCAGACCAAGTATTGAACTTTTAAAATATTCAATTTAGAGGAACATTTCTAATCACAAAGTTGTAGAGTGTACTAATAAATATCCAATTGGGTGTTTTTTTATCAAGAAACCTCTAACAATGTTCGTTTTTCAGGGCTTAAAGAAAGCTAACGAATCATGCAAAAAAAAAACAAAAAAAAAAACGTGTATCTTTTAACAGCGCTTTGTCAACAGTGTTCTATTTAGCATGCAGGCCTGTTTATTCAAGCCACGGCTGAGAGCGCTGCACTTCAAGGCTGTCAAGCGCGAAGTCACATGTTTTTTTTTCGTAATTTGCGGCACCTTTTAGAAGCCCACAAAAACCAACAGTGTTAGTGGTTTCTTGATGAAAGCTATTGAATCAGACGTTTCTGAGGACGCTCTCCAACTTAGTCATTGAAACGTCTGCTCTAATTTGAATATTTCAAAAGTTCAATAATTGATCTGAATTAATCAATTAATTGGGCGAGGTACAAAAATAGCCTGACTTGCTCTAGAGCCTAAATAATGAACATGCATATTACTTTAATCTCGTCTTCCGAAAAAGAAGGAAAATAAACGTAAAACTAGTCTTATAAGTTACCTGGAATACTATATATTTGAAACTTCAGATTTAGCGGGTCGCTTTAGTTCGAAAAGGAGACTCTCTACAGGTCCTTAAATTTCCCTACTTTTCCCTTCTTGACTACGTCACTAGCGGGAAGGAGGACGGGTGACACTGGAAGTCGCTTCCCGGGTAACCAGCGATCGCGATCCTTTCTCTGCAGCCTCAAGGTCAAAACTTCTTTGACCATGGGTATGTCAGAGATTGCAAAACTATTTTCACAAAGCTATTAAATTATATTACTAATTGCTTTCCTCAAATCGCAAAAATGTAATTCAACTACATTAAAAACTACAGTAGACTACAATTAGTGACATTAGATTACAGTGACTTCTAAAATTAACGAAATAACTTTGGCATTACTTTTCAATTTTAGGTAGCAATTTGTGTTTATTTTTTTAGAGTATGTATACCAGAACTCAGGTCTCCCTGTTTGCGCCGCAAAAGCCAAATGCGCCTCCTCGCGAGCCGTACTGAACAGCCACTCCGCTGGCGAATAAGGCGGACAGATTGCGCAAATACCACTTAGAGCGGATTCCTGACGTTAATGACCTGTGAAATACCCGTTCATTTTTCACCACACGCAATCGAAGTCACAGAAAAATAACAAAGAAAAACGAGCAGAGTTCTACCCCTCAGCTCGCAGCCAGAACAAGCGGCCACGTGATCCGGAGTCGATTATATGCCGCCAATGTTGATCATAGCCACGCGCTGGGGCTGGAAAGGCACAGGACACGCGCTGAGTTCCAGACATTTCTATGGTTCGGCTGTTGTCGCCATTGCAGCGAATGGAAACAGGACACTACCCGAATGCTTCTCGAGCAATCGATTATCACGAGCCCAAATCGGGTGTCCACGCCATGCTCAGGTCGAATCTATGAGCCGCATTCAAATATCGTCACTGGGCGGTACTGCTACCGCCCAGCTACATCATCAGGTTTTGCGAAGGAGAGATTGAATGAAAACTATCGGTTTTTGTCCTCTAAATTACAGCGCAACAAAAGAGTTTCTTGGCCAGTGGCGTTGCGTGCGAGTATCCTTGAGTCCCACTAGTGCCAGTAAGCTCGTGTAAAGTAAAAAACATTCCAATTGAATATCGTTGCACCGTACCTTTAAACATGACGAAGAGCTTCTTTAAACGGGAATAAAAAGAAAACTGCATCTCCACGTGGTGAATGATGTTGATTGGAGCGAAGCTCTGGTGGTGGTTCTTGTCTGCGTAGACACTGAGCCGCAGCATTCCGAGCCTTTCGTTCGTTTTCATCCATGTCACGCAGCGTTCAAATGCTCAAATGCGTATTTAACCACATTCCATACGACATATTCCCTTTCTGACAGGGGTGAAAACGAACGAAAGGCTCGGCATGCTGCGGCTCACCGCCTACGCAGGCAAGCACCACCAGAGCTTCGCCCCAATCAACATCATTCACCACGTGGAGATGCAGTTGTTTTCTTTTTTTTTGCCCTACACGAGCACGGGAGCACGTGCTCACGTGCTCGTGAGCACGTGAGCTCACGAGCAGGAGCACGTGCACCCGACGGCGGACGGACATACGGACATGGCTAGCCCATAAGGAGTTTCGCCCCTAAAACAGTCGCCTCACGACTTCGCGGTTCAATCAACGATGAAGGTCCACAGTTGAAGGCTGATGTGATTCCGTCTTTCTTATTTTGGCGAAGTCGTAGTCACAGTGAACATAACAGCGCACAAAGAGACAACTACAGAGAAGAGGAACATGCACGACAACGCAAGCGCTGTAGTAGTCGCTGTCAGTAAACTAAGTCGGGCCATGGAAGCTCGTCCTCACAAGAAGTCAAGTGAAAAGTTTCCCCTTTGACCAGGAATAGAATCTTATCTTTTTCTCCTAAGAGCACTATGTCCACGGATTCCCGGGTATTTCTCTCGTGCATTATTGTTCCAAGACACAGAGTAGTTATCCGCATCGTCACTCAAAGGGGACAAGTCTTGGCGGGGCAGACACGCCGCCAGGGAAGGGAATGGATCGCAGGAGCTTTCTAAAATTTGTGCTTTCCGAACGGATGAGTGCCAATATGTTCGCGTTTTCTCATTCCTGACAAAACTTCCCAAGGAAAATGAAGAGAGGTAACCGCGCGCGGTACCTACTTTTGCTCGCTTCCCGTCGGCTACGACTACAAAAAAAAAAAAAAATTATTTGCAAGGTTTTAAACTTACATTTCATATTAACTATCGAGCCCGGTCGTTTGTTGTTTAGATCGCAATGGTCGAACGTTGACGGCTTGACCTCGCTTGATGAAAGAGCAAGGCTGGCGATCTGAATTTCCTATTGGCTCAGGTTTTAGAATGGTTTGACCTTACTGGTGGCGTGCTTTTTGCATTGCAGCCTTGTGCCGTCCGGATGACGTTGTGCCGGGAATCCGCATTGTTGGGAGTTTCGTGAACCCTGGCTTTCCAGTGATATCTCCTCAGGAGAGCTTTTCTCTATCTGCTTCGCCTTTCGAGTCCACCTTCGTGCATTTGTTGCGCGCAACGTAGGAGGCTTTGCGCAGAAATGGGCCTTCGCTTATTTCTTTTT